GCTGTGACACAGTGGAGCTCTGCACATACCAGACTTTATTCTGTGGAGAAGTTGAGGAGAATGCCTGTCTCCTCTTTTCTGTTCTGTTAGATTGCAAAGCCTCTGTTTTGCAATCCAATATTTTTGTAAGTTACGTGTGCCCTATTTTTCATCACTGTTTAGTCTCTGCCTGGGATCTGTGAAGAATCCAGGATATTACCTCGACTGCATTTCACATGACTTTACTCCTCTCATGTCCCAGGCTTGGTTACTGAGGCAGTCCTGTCAGTATCTGGCTGCTGCACCAGCGAGCCTCCCTAGGACCAGCTCCTTTCAAGACATTGTTCAGGTTCTTGTGCAAAGTGGACGCTCGTGCCAGTTTGTAGAGTTATTCTGCAGGCAAGAGGCAAACCATCTGCAGCACTTGGCCACATGTGGCAAGACCAGAGGCCAAAGGGCATATGTGCCTTCTGGTAATTCAGAAGTCTGCTGTTTAAAACATGGAAATTAGTGATTTTTCAAACATTGGTGTTTGTTTCTTTAAAATCTAGAATAAAAACATTTGGGGGTATGGAGATATGGTAGAGGGCTTGCCTAGCATGTATGAGGCCCTGGATCCATTTCCCAGTCAATGAAAAAAAATTTTTTTTGATTAGGGTTTTACTAGTTGGTGATTTCCACTGAGTCATGGTCCCTTAGTATTTTTTGTATCACTGCTGTCTTACTCTCTCTCCAATTTAAAAATACAGTGATACTTTGCCAAAGCTTTTCCAGTGACTCTCTTCTTTTTGTTCCCCACTACTCTTTACTTGTCAAATATATGTTCATACATATATATATATATATATATATATATATATATATATTCATACATATTCAATCCTGATAATCCTCTAAGCCTGTTAAAGAAGAGCATTGTCAAAATAAAAGGAGTCAAAGGCGGACCCTTAATGTTTTCTATCCCATTCCTGATGTGATTCTGGCAAACTCATTCTTTCATTAACAGAGGCATTTCACAAATGTTTCTTTAAAATTATTATGTATAATAGTAAGAAGCATTTTTACAAAATCACAAAAGCATGGGATATAATTTGCTCCAATTTAGTCCCTAGAACTTCCTCCCCTCTGCCCCCAATCCCCTGCTTCTACTGATCTTTCCTCAATTTTAGTTTAGGTGGGGTTTTTTTTGGTTTTTGGTTTTTTTGTGGATATACTTGATGTTGGGATTCACGGTGCTTTGTTCACATATCTACATACAAACGTTTGGTCAGATTCATTCTACTGTCTTTACTTTTCCTGTCTCTCCTTCCTCTCCTGAATTCCCTTCATCTACTCTAGTGCTCTTTCCTCTATTTTGATGAAATTCCCTCTCCCTTTCTCTCTCTCTCTTTTCTCCAACCTTATTTTAGATTAGTTTCTGTGTATCAGAGAAAACATTCAACCTTTGGTTTTCTGGGACTTGCTTATTTTACTTAGCATGTTAGTCTCCAGTTTCATCTATTTACCAGCAAATGCCATCATTTCATTCTTTTTCTGGTGAGTAGTACTCCATTCTGTATAGTACCACATTTTCTGAACACCTAGTATGTGCCAGGCAAAGAGGGTCTTGACTGGTTTATGAGGTGGTGAGTGGCTTGGGAAAACCAAAATACAGCTGGGAGGCATCCAGGCAGAAACAAGAACATATATGCCATGGCACACAGAGGATGCATAGTGCATTGGATGGATGTGTCTGGAGCAGAGCACACGGAAAGAGGTCAGAAAAAAGGGGGTGAAGGTTATTGAATTCTGCAGCAGTCTGCCAACGGAGTTAATACAGTGACTTGATTTTCTAAAAGCTTTCATATTTTATGCTAAATTAGAAAAGTAGTTCCTTTTGTAATGTTCAGATGAGTACCAAGGAATCGCGGTTAAGATGCCTAGTGTGTGTGTTTGAATTACCTTAGAGCGGTCCACTGAGCAGATGTACTTTCCTTCCACTGAGTTCTGTAATTTTTGTGTTATATTAAAATACTGGTAATAGTATCACTAATACTTGTAATAATAGAAATAATGAGGCTGTTACTGAAGTAGGTTGCTTTGGGACGCCTTATAAAATTTTAACCTGTTTTATTGTTAACAAAATGGTAATCTGACACATACTCAGGACAGACTGCTGTTTCCCTTGAGGGAAGCCCTGACAGGTTGCTTTTATTAAAGGCCGGTCCTTCTCTTGCTATGGGAATGGAGCCGTGGCTCACTCGGATTCTTGTTCTCTTGTGGTGTTAGTGGGTAAAGCAGAGCGGAGACAGTTGTTAGAGGGCCCTCTTGATCTGTTCTCTGAGCATCCTGGTATAGAAACGTTGTGGGTGGACAGCTACTGGCTTTACTGATCTTTTGAAGGTAGTTGGATTTTAGTAGCTTAGAGGATGTGATCTGAGATTCAAGATTTAACCAAATGTGTGCTGATTACTATAGAGAATTGGACTGATCACTAATCTGTTTGTATCAATACAAAATAATAAAATATTTGATGGAAATTTAAGTTGCTTGTCAGGTACTTAGTAAAAAATTTCTAAGTAGGGTTATACTTTGTAGACATTTTATATGATGATATCTATTTTATCAAACCAACCCATTAAAAATTGATTTTCTTTTCCAACTCGAGGAGAGCATTGTACAACTTTCCTGTAATTCCATTAATTTTCTAGATTTTAGTTGTAATAGTTCAATTATGTAACTGATGTATTGATAGTGAGTTACTAGAGGTGATCATCTGGAACAGTTTGTGTATTGTGAAAAAGAAATTCTTTCTACTTGGACACACATGCTAGGTAAATAGGTATACTATTTATTTATCTAAGCCAAATCTCCTGAAGTCAAATTTGTGCTTTGTTATCCAGCTTCACCATGGTTTCGTTTTTCTTGGAGAAAGGCGGTCCTTGAAGTTATAGAAAGGCATTCCAGAAGGCTATTTTTCCTTTTACCTAGACTACTCAATTTCATTTTATTATTTTAATAAAGAAGTCAAAATTTTGAAATAAATATGTTAAATTGGGAGAGGAGACAAATATACGTCTTGGAATTTGAATTGATCTTGTCAAGAGGCAAAAATAAGGTGGAAATGAAGATAAATTCAATAGCAATAAAAATTTAAATTGCCATATAGTTTTAAAAGTTTATTTGGAGGAGTGTGGTAAGGCTTGATTTGTATAGCTCACATGAGAAAACCTTGTGGTGCTTATCAGCAGACTGACACAGCATCTGAATCCAGTCCTATGATGCTTTAATAGAAATATTATGACCTCATCAGGAGAGACACAGGTCTTATCTCCCTTCCATGCCACCAAAAGGAAAAGAAAAGGTATATGTATTGTATGTGAAAAACTGTGTGTACACATATGTACATATATATATATATTTATTCATAAAGAAATTGTTTTCTTTGCTCTTTGGAGGAAAGAAACGTCAAAAGAGAAATTAAGAAAACATGGGTCCTGTTGGCTCTGAGGGTAAACCTAGCATTGTGAGTGCTTAGAGTCATTAAAAATACACTAGAAACCAAATCGACATATATGAGAATGCTAATAAGGTACTCAAAGTAATATGAAAAAAGGAGCAGATGAGTATTGTGAATGTTTAGAAGAAGAAAGTTTCATCAATTCATTCAATAAATATTAAATACCCTTTGTGGTCAGTCATTGTTCTCGGGGATTTTGGTGGAGGACCCAGACAGTAAACAACACAGCCAGTGATAAGTTTGGTAATGACAAGGGCTAGGAAGAAAAAGTAGAGCAGGTCAAGAGATGGCCAGTGATTCTACAGCACAGGTCCGGACCCCACAAGCAGGTGCCATCCTCCTCCTTGGAATTGGACCCATGAGAGATGACCAGGGAGATGTGTAAGGAGCTGTCATTTGACTAGACCCTAAGTGAGATGAAGAGCCACGTGGGAGGGCAGAACATAATAAACAAAACTGCAGTCATCATTTCTGGCCTTTGTAAAGTCTGTTTATCCCCTAATTGAAATTGTCCTGCCGACTCAGTTACCCAGGAATATTGCCAGACACTGCAGCCCAAGGAAGGAAGGTGAGCCCTGCTGGCTGTCCCATCTCCTGACATGCTGTCATTTAGCCCTGCTTAGAGACTTCCTCTGACACCCAGGCTCTAGAACCTCTCCATCTAAAGGCATGAGAACCCTGAAGGAGGGTGCTGCACTTTAGTTCAAGCCTGATGTGGCCACAGTGCTCTTGAGCCTGCAGCTCAACATCTGTAAGTCAGGAAAGATTCCCAGCTTTTAAGGCTGTTGTGAAACCATGGATGGTGTACCTCAAATGCCCAGCACATAATAAGTGTTTGATAAAATAGTAGCCAGTATTACTCACCATATGGGTCACTCATTTCTAATTTAAGATGTGATAACCAAATGTAAGTGTTCCTCTGATTTTTTCAGGACTTAATTTAGACCAAGATTTCAGTTTTGGAAATCATTCTGTAAGACACACGACAATTTAGAGTAGTTGTACCTCCACCCTTTGCCTACCCTCAACCTAACTTCATTCATTGCTCTCTCCAGAGAACACTAGTGGGAAGGTGGGGATATGAAGTGAGTAGGTCCCCGAAAGGCAGTTCAGAGTGTCAGTGTAACGTGTGCATAATACACACTGTCAGGTCATCTGCATGGCAGCCAAAGAATTGGATGTGTTTGTGTCTGTTCACTTATCAGTCGTCTGAGCCTTTTAGTTTCAGTCACAAATGTGAACACATATAGTTTCTTCAGATACTTGAGGGACTGGCTGGGAACAATCGAGTCTGCCAAAAGAGGTCTCAACTTTTGACAACCATCCTGAGCCCTTTTACAATATAAAAGCCTCATTATGTTTGGCTCATAGTGTGACTGTACTCTGAACTGCCTCCCGTGTCCCTGAGAGGAGCCACATCTCCTCCTCTGTCTGTATAACTCAGCCTTGACCCTAAGCCATGACCTGGGAAACTATTAGGGAGTGACAGATTAATCCCAATATGCTCCATTCCTCAGCTGGCTGTCCCAACTCCTAATGTGCTGTCATCGAGCACTTCAGACTTAGTTCACTGTGAAACACAAGGAAGAAAGGATTTGGACCCATGTCTCCTTTTACATGTAAGAGTCTGTTTTGTGATCTTGATGATTTTGCTAATTTTAAAAAGCACTGAGTTTGTGCTGAGGAAATGCTATTCTGGTTGTCTTCAAAATGTATAAAACTATCAACAAAACCGAACAAACACTGAGCTCTTGAATCACTGTCTTTTTATATACAACACAATGTCATGGTAGACAGATGCTAAGCTTAAGACAAAGAATGGAGAGAGAAGAAAGGAAGGAAAGGAGATGGAAGAGGGGAAGGTAACAAAGGAAGTGAAGGAAGAGAGGAAGGAAAGACAGCTCAATCTGGGGTCCTTTAGAGATCAGAAGCGGCACAGCAGGATTTTGTAGTGGGGTTCGTTTTAGCCTTTCCTCCTGCCTTGGCTTTCACGAAATGGCCCTTGATCCTGGTGGTTAAATTCTGACTGCAGGGCAGCCTTTTCTCAAGAAAAGGTGGGCTGTTGTGGTGTTCTGGGTGACCCCAAGCTCCACGCCTTCAGTTCACAGACATGAAGTGGCCTTGCATTGAAGACTTGGGGTAATGTTGACCCAGTTATACAGTTAGGGTGGGAGTTTCATTGAGCATCATGGTGGCAACAAGTAAAATGTGACCTTCCTCGCTTTCCCGTCTACCACATATCCACAGAAGGTGATGGCTGACACAGGAGTGTGTGTGTGGGGGGTGAGTTACCCATTTAGTTGCCAGGAAGATTGTCCCACCTCCAGGCAGTCTTCTGCTAGCAGAAGGAACAGGCATAGGATATCAGCCAGGTGTTAAGCAGTGCTGCTTCCTGGGGTAGGGATGAGGTGGTATAAGAGGTGGTAGTGGTGGTGCTGGCAGTGACAGAGGCAGTCGTGAGTTAGGGTAGCACCTGTGTTAGGGTGCTCTGCGTTATGGCTCTTCAGTGAGATCCATTTCTATTGCTTTTGATTTTCTCTAAATTCTACTTTCCATGTGGAATCACTTATCTTTAGTGAAGACATCTTTAACATGCTATATAGTGCAGTTCTGCTGGCTACCAATTCTCACTTAAGCATATGTGCAGATGTCCTTACTTAACTCTTATTTTTGAAGGATATTCTGGTTTCTTCCTTTGCAGTCCTTAAGCAGCCACTGATCTGCTTTTTGTCACTATAAATTATATTTTCTAGAATTTTATAAAAATGGAAATATGTAGTATATATTCTTTAATCTAGCTTGCTTCATGCAGCATAATAATTTTATGCTCTACCTGTCTCATTATATGACAGTTCCCAACTTACCACCTGTTGGTGGACATTCCGGGTTTCTATTTTTAGCTATTACAGAGCTGCTATATTTTAATACCAGTCTATGCATGGAAATATTCTCTTTTTTCTCTTGGGTGGATACCCAGAAGTGGGGTGCTAGATCATACAGTGGGTGTATGTTTGTTTTTACTGCCAAACTGTTTTGAAAGTGATTGTTCTATTTTACATTCCCACCCACTGTAAGAAGTCATCAGGGACACATCCTCCTTGCTTCCATCCTTTCTGTTCCTTAGCTATCTATTGCACACAACCACAAACATGGAACATGGACTTTTTTGTTGGGGCAAGGAGTTTTAGAAGTGTGTTCGGGTTAGTTGGTAGAGTGTCCTGAGGCCTTGGGATCTTGAGACAGTCTGGAGAGGAGACATTGTGCCCATGGGTAAATGTGTTTCCTTGGCCGAAATAACTTTTTCCTGTGTGACGGGGTATAGCCAAAGGATGACTAGAGAAGAGTCCTCAAAAGTGTGGAGCTCGGGACAGCACTTGTCTTGCTCAGTTCTGAAGGCAGGACGGTTCCCCTACCTTCTAATCTATCTTGTTTCTAACTATCTTTAAAAACCCATCTCACTCTTCACTCCTATATCTTTCACCCTGGCAGTTGGAGGCTCTCCCTCAATTTCTTGCTATTCACCTTTCTATATGCCTCACCTTCCCAATTATCTGTATGCTTTTGCACCAACCACTTCTATGTCTTCAACTATCTAACAGACATATAAATTCATTAAAAATGTTGAATGAAGCAGAGTATGAAGTTGTTTTTTCTCTTCCTGGATTATCATGCTAATCTTGAGTTGCCCGGCATGCTTTTCCATTTGCACAGGTAGAACTTGCACATGTACGTTGTTATTTTCCTGTCCAAGGTCTACTGCATCATTCTTGGCTGTGTTTGTCTTCAGTTAACTAACACCACAAAATTCTGTGTACTTTGCTTATATTTTACTCACCCAGTGTAACCTCCTTACTCGCTATGTGAAATGACCCAGAAAGGCAGAGGCGATTTTTACTAGACTTCTGATTTTCCTGCATTGGCTGTATTTGTCTTCCAGGTTACTAGAAAACCTGGCCATGAACATTTACCAAGTGAGCGGTGCCCAGTGTGCTTGTCCACACACCTGTCTCTCCCTGGTGTGCTCTTTCTTTCCTCCATCTAGACGATGGAAGAATATTTCAAAATTCAGCAACAGCTTTATCTCTTCCCGGAAGCTTTCTCTTTGGGGGAGATCTAAATTAAAGTACTTTTCTGTCTTCTTATAGTACATCTCTGTAAATCTCTCATAATATTTAAGTACTGGCACTGAGATTTTCAATTTACTTGCTGGTTAGTCTTTCTAGACTGAAAACTGGAAAGACAGGAACTGTGTCTCATTTGACTTTGTGCTTTAGCATCTAACATAGTACTGGCTTGTGGCAATGCCCAAATAACTGGTTAATAAATGAATACATAAGTGAATGAAAGAATGCCCTTTATATTCATCTTTTTGCATTTTCTGCTTTTCTTCATATCTTTCTTCTTTTGTTTCTACTCTTTCATTTTGAATAAGTTTCTGCAAGTTTATAGAGTGAGTTTTGTGGCCTTTTAATTAGTTTTACTAGCTCTACAAATTTTGGAAAATGGATTTTGAACCTTAGCAAACAAACTAAAATGTTAAATATTTGTTCACAGACATGGCAATGGAAGATTTCATTGGTATCTGCTGCATGGGCAGGTACATCCTTTAGGTTCTTAACCTTCTCTGTTGAGAATCATGGGCCTCTGGACAGATCTGCCCATTCCAGCAACACAGATCCTGTGCTGTCACACTGATAAGTTAGGTAACTGACCTTTCTCAAGTCAGGAGGGCTCCCTACATGGAAGCCAAAGTTTAAAGTACTGTCGAGAAACTTCCAGGCTTGATTTAGCCAAAATAATTTTTATAAAGATGTTATGAAATAAGGAAAACAAAGTCATTAATGCCTTGGTCAGCAGTAGTAGGTGCTAGTAAATGTAGTCCCATCCTCCCTCCCAGGCTTCCTGAAGTTCCCAGAGATCTAAATTCCCTTGAAATTTCTCTCAGATCAAAGACACGAATCCAGAACAGGTCCAAGTGGCTAATGCCAGTTGTACTTGGGCAGATCCTTTTTTCAGGTGCCACCAGTAGATTTCGTCCTCCTCTCTGGCACTTATGCTTTCTTTTGGTGTCTTGACTGCACTCCAGCTATTGAATCTAGAGCTTGCTCTGTGTGAACTTCCTGAGGCTGCCCCATTTAACTCACAGCCAGCCAGGGACCAGTCTGCTGGCCCCGAGTCCTCGTTAGCCATCCTCTTCTGGAAACACTGGCTTGTGCTCTTTTCTCCCCTTTGCTTGAGGAGGAGTGTTAGACCTACAGTGTGTAGAGGGTCAGGGACAGTGTAACAGCAGAAGTGCATGGATCAGAGGTAGATCAAATTGACAGTGGCCAACTTAAGATGCTTAGCAATATTCATCCCCAGCCAAGAACAGTTAAGACCACAGTAATTAATCTGGTGCACCCAAGTGACATTCTTTACCATAACATTAAGTAGATGTTAAAAAAAAAACAAACCAAAAACTTTGAAACAAGGTTAAAAAAGATTAGCTGTAGTACACAATTTCCTTACTTCAGAAAGTCCTCTTTAAAACTTAGATTTGGCCTCATGAAATATAATGCAGTTTAATTTCCATTTAAAAATTGCATTTATATTCTTCATAAGACTTTCCCTGTTGCTTACACATAGCTCCTCAGTTGCATCAGTGGTAGTTGCTTATGGAACAGTTGCATTCCAGAGGTAAAAGGCATTGAGTTTAAATACAACAAGTCTGTTTTCCAGGAAATGAGAAATGAAAGAGATTGTTTCCTTCCAAGTCTCTGCAAGCTTGTGAAAGATGAGGCTGCATTTCCTGTTTAAGTCTTTGCAGTCAACACTCCTTGAAGCTGGGCCCTTGGAGACTGTAACTGTGTTGGGGCAGTAGCATTTTGAGAGTTGAAAAATGAATAACCTTAAATAATGTTTTCTTTCTCTCTTTAGGAGCATCTAAAGGCCTTCGATGATGAAATCAATGCTTTTTTGGATTATATGTTTGGGCCTCGAGGTGAGTAAGCTCTTGAGAGCAGGAAAAATGCCATTTAATTATAGAAAAGGATGATGTTGTCTCTGGTGTCTTGAAAACAGTATAGCACCCTCACCTTTAATGTCCTCTGAGAACATCCCACAGGGCCCGTTTCTCCTCCTGTTCAACCTCACCTGGTACTGCAGTTCTGGGAGCAGGAAGCAGGAACACGGTGAATGACATGCAGTGTTTTCCTCCAGTGTCTCTGTAGCTTTTCCTCTTCCCTCTCCATTCTTCACTGCCCGGTCATCTGTAGAATTCCTGCCTTTAAGCACGGGTGAACTTTCTCTGCCCCGGCCTTTGGAATGAGCTTGGAAGTCTCAATCATTCCTCCATCACCAGCAATTTAGACAGTCATAGCTCCTAACAGTCTCTCTCCTTGGAATCATTCATGAAGAAGCATCAGCTGGGATAATATTCTAAAGACCCAAATCATTACTGTGTTGTATCTTACAGTTCATCAGTGTCTTTCTAGTACCCATGTGGTTGGACCAAACTTCTCATCATGGGCAACAGACCCTTGAATGATGTAGCCCCAGCTGCTGCGCCAGCTCAGTGCCAGTCTTCCTTACTCAGCTTTGACCCAGGCACTGGAAACATCTTTTAATTCCTCAGATACTTACAGTTCCTTTATGTGCTGTTCCTTGAGCATGGACCTCCTCCCTTCACTTCCTGTTCCACTTCCCAGTCAGGTCTGCTCCTTCTCACACTTGAGATAGATACCAGTTGAAACGTGCCCTTTACGCGAGGCTCTTTCCTCTGTGGCAGCTTCTTGCCAAGCTTCCTTCTCGGCACACTCCACTGTTAACCCACAGCAGGTGTGCCATGCTGTGGGTTAACATTCGGAAACCAGGGCTGCTTTTCTGCAGGGCTTATCACAGTTCTGGGAATGTAATAGCACTAGATATTTTGCAAATGAATGAATTCTAGACAAAATGTTTTATTCCACTTGAGCCTTGCTGGTTCACAAACCTGTAGAAAATCCATTGTTCTCTCAAGTTATTTCCTCAACTCTGTTAGGTGGAAAAGGAAGGAAAACTTCCTTTTTTCCCCTCTTTATCCCCCTTAGATATTGTTTTGATCCCTCTCAACCCCCAGTTCTACACAGGCTTTGTAAACTGTTCCACGTTAATGTGATGATTTATATAGTTGTAATGATACTCGGAGTAGTGGCTCACTCATGAAATCCCAGTGACTTGGGAGGCTTAGGCAGAAAGATCACAAGTTAGAGGACAGCCTCAATAACTTAGCAAAACCTGTCTCAATAGAAAATAAAAAAGGCTGGGGATGTAGCTTAATGGTAAAGCAGCCCTGGGTTCAATCCCCAGTGTGAAAAAAAAATTATGTGTGTGTGTCATGGATTGCTTTTTTTAAAAAAAAAACAAAACAAACTTTTTCCATATTCTCTCCTCTTGGTGATCCCGTGGGTAACCAGGACAAAGGATCTGTCTATGTACCTACTTTCATGTATTCCATACCTTGCAGGTCTAGTGGGTGAAAAGGAGGTCAGGGTAGAGGGTGCAACCTCTTGCCTAGGCCTGCAGGATACTGGGAGGAACTATGAATTAGGTGACTGGCTTTCTACTGGGCACATCCACTGGAGTTAAAAACAATGTCTCTGAGCCAAGTTCACACTGAACTTTGCTATCAGTAAGATCAGCATGATGTGGAGTTCCGTGGAGGAAAGGACTGCATTCGTTTTCTCAGCTGTGACAGTTTTTAATGGAAGCTCTCCTCTGTAGCAAGGAGATTGTACCATTGACAACTGAATCACACATCCTCCCCAGTGACAGGGTGCTCAGTATCTCAGTGTCAAGAATCCTTTTTCCTTCCTCAAATGGCCCTAGCTTAAATTGCCTGGCATGAAACCTATTAAGCTTCTAGGTGTCCCGTCTTCTGATTATGTACACGTGGTATCAGTACCTGACACAGATGTAGAGCTAATATTCTCACGTTCTCAAAGGTAAGAAACATTACATTTGTTCCCATGTTTTTATTGGAGCATTGTGACCATTCTTAAGAACTGTAGCAAAAATTTTTAGATACAACATTTTTAATAAGACCTGCTCACTGTCTCCTAGTACATATACTAGAGTTGGAAAGGTAACAACTTTCCAATTATTACAGATGTGCTAGCTTTAAGTACTAAATTAGATGTGCTCTTTTCCTAGAGCTGCCATAACAAAGTACTGCAAACTAGAAGGTTAAAATAACAAATTTATTCTGTTTTGGAAGCCAGCAGTCTGAATTGAGATGTTGACAGGGCCTCTCCCCACCTGAGGTGATAGGGAAGAATCTCATCTGTGCTTCTCTACAAGTTTCTGGTGGTTGTTGTCAATCCTTGGGGTTCCATGGCTTATTGATGCATCATTAGCCTTTGTCTCCACATGATTTTCTCTTCTGTGTCCCTGTATCCAAACCTCCCCCTTTAGAGGACACCACTCATCTTAATTCAGTATGGTCTCGACTTAACTCAGTTACATTTACAAAGACCTGTTTCCAAATTAGGTGACATTCAGATGCCAGGAGTTAGGGCTTTGTCATATCTTTTGGTGGATACACCACCATATAGAGATAGTATAAGTTACTTTTCCTCAAAAGCAAACTGGGGATAATATCACCTATATAATAGGATTGCTTTGAGAATAAACTAATGCAGGCTTCAGAACAGAATAAATGCTCAGTAACAGTTATAGCCATAATAAAATCATCTTATTATGTAAATGAGGAGCTGTAGTTATGAAAGAGTAGGAAAAAGCTCCCTTCAGAAGGCAGGGCCTTTTATCTGGGCAAGAAAGGATGACTTTTTAAAAAGTTTTTTTAGTTGGATACATTTTTACGTGGGTGCTGATGATCGAACCCAGTGCTTCAAGCATGCAAGGCAAATGCTCTACCACTGAGCTAGAGCCCCAGCCCACATTTACTCAGAAATGAACATCAGGAAGCGGCACATAGAACAAGCTTTGGTTATTAAAAGGGAGGTGGGTGAGAGTTATCTTTATTGCCAGTGGGAAAAGCGTACAGAGTAAGTAATGGCACCGGTCTCAAGGCACTTTTTCCAAAAAATGGTGCCTTCTTTAGGACAGATGGTCTAACTAAAGGGTGGTTGGTAGAGTGGGAGTAGTAGGAAGAGGGACTAAGACTAGGGGAGTTGATCAAGGAAAGGGCTTTGCCTGTTGGCAAAACCAGCTCCTTAAACTGTTTATGGAGAATAAAAACAGTATGCCATTTTTATAATTCTAGGTCTTTAAACCAAAAGAGAAAGTCATTGTGTCTACAATTGTTAACAGTTCTATGATGAAGCTATCACATGGGCTTTTTTCAGGTTTTTAAAGATTCAGGGCACTTGATGTATTCAGGCTCTCACCTCCCTGCCTTTGTTTTCTTCTCTCACTTCTCAATCATCAGCTCCAAGCCTTTGTTATCTTTGGCTGTATTATAATCTCACTCCTGGTTTATTGTATAAATGATTCTAGGCAATGTGGTTTTTAGAAATTATAGTATAATGAAAATGTGCCTTCTGACTATCCAGATTTTCCCTATGGGGGATGGGTGTTAGTAATGAATAATGGGGAAGGTGGTGGGTGTGTAATCACAGCCCTTGTTTTACTTAATAATGGCCCCACTGTGCAAGATTGGTAGATTCAAATTTGCCACCATCACTAAGGTTGCTGAGGTTGCTAAAATCTATCCATGAAATTGTAAAGGAAAAAAGCTTTGACTATGGTGGTAAGTGCTTAGTGAAAATGAAAAAAAAAGGCATTAAATTTGTGTATGTATTGTAAAAAACAGTACATGGTGTTCATGGGTGATCTTGGAACTTACCCCCCAAGGGAAAAATGGGGGAAATGTTGTATAAAAAAATGTATTGCTAACCAAAACCTCGTTCCTCGGGTTTCTGTGTGCTTGTTTTCAGATTCCCGAGTCAGAGGGTGGTTCATGTTGGACTCTTACCTGCCTACCTTTGTTCTTACTGTCATATATTTGCTTTCAATATGGCTGGGTAACAAATACATGAAGAACAGACCTGCTTTTTCTCTCAGGGGAATCCTCACCTTGTATAATCTTGGAATCACACTTCTCTCCGCCTACATGTTAATAGAGGTAAGCATCTCTGGCCAAAGCTGGAGTTGGTGGCCCAGTCAATTTAGGAAGCAGTCACATCTGGTCTACCAGAATGCTCCACAGTTTCTGTCATTACTGTTAAGATCTCAAGAACTTGTTCCAGCATTTGACATGGTTCCTTCCCAAAGTTCTGGAAGTCTTTGTTTCTAACTTGAACTTTTCTTATTCCATTTTAGGCTTATTCTTTAATCCTTAGTCTAATTGCAATTTGGGATCATTTAAATTTGAATGGGCCTTTAAAGATCATGTGTTTTTAACCTAAGTATTTTTTTTTTTTTAGATGTCAAATTCAGTTAGTTTCACTGAAATGCAGATATACATGCATATAAATGTTATGTGTACACATGCACACACCTACCCTTAAAGAATGCAACCACATCTTTGTCAGTTGTCCCTCAAGACTGACTTCTGGAGGGCCAAGCTGCAGCACGCACCAGACCCAAATGATTTTATGAGAAGAGGAACACGTAATGATTGCCCTGCCTACTCAACCAGCAGTTACTATTATACTAGGCAAAATCTAAAAGTATTAAACTTGCTGTAGCAAAGATGGAGATACAGTGGAAACAAAGTAGGATTCATACAAGTTATACATGACTGATAATGACCAAAACTTCCTGCTGTGTTTGAATTAAATCCTTGCCTTAAAATATAGGTTTTCTCATCTGGAGTTTATTCTGTGCCTTATTATAATATGCACTCTTTTTTTGTAATATGGGGAATTAAAAAGTGTAATTTGAGGAACATTCTCCCATTCCTTGCCCTTTTTCAAGAGAGGGTCTGGCAATCAAGTCTTCCTGCCTCACTTCAGCCTCCCAAGTCCCTGGGATTACAGATGCACTCCACCACACCAGACTTCTAATATGTGCCGTTCTAATAATGTATAATAGCCATTATCTTGAGTGAGTGGAATGAATCTCTAATGAAATTTTAGGCATCAGAATGCAAGAGATGGAATTTGGGATCAGGAAAGCCATGCTGACAACTCTAAAATCCTAATTTTACCTGGTACTGAAAAAAGTTTTTATTTTGTATTCTTTACAAGATGAATTTTAGCACTAGATAAGTTTGCATGGTAGTGATTTATGGTTTAGTTTCTCTGTGTAGCAAAGAAAGACTGTCTCTTAGACAAGGTAAAGGCAAGTTGCTAGATTTGTAAAAGCAAACTGAACTTGGATTATAGCAGTGGATGAACTCTAGGGATGTCCTGGAGTGATTGAGGTTATACCTGCCAAGGCTAACCCTATTCGACAGACTTGTTTCATTTTCTTCAACATAGCCGTCCTGCACCCATGAAGTTAGGGGACTCAGGAAGTTCTGTCGCACACTGGATCATTCTGTGGCTTGGCTGCTTATTCTGCTATGCAGGTAGTTCTGACAGGTGATACATGGATGGGATCAGCCTGACTAAACCTGGTTAAAGCAGTCTGTCAGAGAACGTGCCCTGGCTTGCTCCATGACTTTTTTTTTTTAGCATAGAAAATAGCGATTAGAACTCCATGCTACAAAACTGCAGCCTAACCATAAATTTTTAAGTCAATTGTTGTACACAAAGTTAAACAGCTTTCTTAGTTTGCAAAAATGCACCAATGTGAAATTGGCATATCCTCTAAAGTAGTCCCTAGATCTGTCTATCTTGTCACTGTTCCCAGGTAAGAACAGGAGCTTACAGCCCTGGGATTTGTTGGGCTCTATTACCAATCAAGTCATTTCCCCATCAGGAAAATCCAAGTCTTGCTTCTTTTACTGGATTTGTTTGTCCTGATAATCTTTAATTATGGTATCTGAAAGGTGTTTTCTTAAAAGGAAAGAGAATCATCAGAACAGTGAAAAAAAGACAAAGGTTCTGAAACCTTCTAAATGTTAGTCAGTAGTCCATCTCTTTTTAAGGTTTAGTGTTTTAACAGATGTATACCTTTACAATCTCTAGGACAGCAGGAAATATTGGGCCTTTTGTCTGTTATACTTTGTGGAATCAGAGCCAAATGTTCCAGAATCTTGCATTTTTACAGGGAGAGAATTTAACATTTTCTTACCAGGTTGAGAAAGAACAGTGATTTAGGAAGTTTGATCTTTAGTCAAATGGTTCTCCCACCTCTAGCCGTGTAACTCTGAACAGACCATTCACCCATCAAGTACTGTACACAAGGTATCTGGCAAAGACGCTAGACACAGAGGAGCTGGAAGCAGCATAAGTTTTGCAGAGCTCTGTTTGTGGTTTTTGTTTGTTTTGCTTTAAGAGTAAGATTTTAACTAATCATGAAACTTACCAAGTAGCATAAATACGGTGAAGAAAATGGTTGATCTTTAAAATGACAATAGGTATATATTTCATGAAATTATACAAACAACACATTAAATTTTAGTGGTTTCCTTACACTTTGGGTGGGGGGCAGTACTCGGGAGCACTTGACTACTGAGCCACATCCCCAGCCCTATTTTGTATTTTATTTAGAGAAGGGTCTCACTGAGTTGCTTAGCACCTTACTTTTGCTGAGGCTGGCTTTGAACTCATGATCCTTCTGAGCCACTGCAACTATAGGCATGTGCCCGGCTTTCCTTACTCAATTTTTATTCAATTAATTCTACATCTTAGTTATTGACATAGATGACTAGATGATTACACAAAATTTTGTAAAGAAAACCACTGGTTTCAGTTTAACCTCAAGAATTAAATCCCTTGATAATGTTTAAGGATAGGGTTGGATTAAATACAAAATCTGGGACATTTGTACTCAAACCTTGAATGGTTGCCAATAATGAGTGTAATACACTCCATTATTGTCATGTATATTAAAAAAGGGGGGAATTGCTTCCAAATTCTTATGTTGAACCAACCCTCCTTTCTCGATTCCTTGACAGCTCATTCTCTCCAGTTGGGAAGGAGGCTACAACTTACAGTGTCAAGATCTCACCAGCGCTGGGGAAGGCGATATCAGGGTGAGCTGTTAGAAACAAGACAACCATCTGTTACCATTTCTCACTGAAAGGAGACGAGGCTCTTCCTCCACATGTGAGGGTGGGCTGGGATGAGATAACGGGTTCCTGTTCCAGTAGAAATGTTTGGTAACAAAAATATCTTCTGAATGTTCATCTGAAGGGCACTGGCTGAATAAACCATGGCACATCCACAGAATGGAACAAGGGCGTCTGTGTTACAGAATCATCTTGAGGTTGCTTTGCTGGCAGACCATGGTTATTGTATAGCACCTGTAGTCAAGAGATTATGTGTATTTACCTATATTCTTGAAACAATGGCAGGATAAACCAAAAGCTTTTCAAAATTGTTTGAGAGACAGAGAGATAGGGATGGAAGCTAGAGTCGGTTATATTTTGGAACCATTAACTGTTTTATGTAATTATAAAAAGAAAGTAAAGCAGCTTTCCCAAAAAAATTTAGAAACAAATCAATGAGTATACCTTAAGTATACTTATTAAGGACATGGCCACTTAAAAGCTTTTGAGTGGATGTCCCTAATGAGATATCTTTAAAAGGATTTTTTGTTGCTATTACTATTCTGAGACTCTTACAGGGACATTTTAGGATAAAATATGTAAGTTATATAAGTAACTAATATTTGAAACAAAGAAAAGACATTTTTAAAAGTTAAACTAAAACCCAGTAACCATACAAATTAGAAATACTTCTTAAAATATTTGCTTTGTCTATGACAGCCCAGAGCAGTGAGCCATGCTTATCCAGAAGTGCTCTCAAAATATAGTTTTCTACCCCAAGGAATGAGGGTTCTTAGAGCCAAGTGGCCAAATTCCAGTTTGGGGCAGAGAATGTATTTCAGGTAAACCCAGGACATCCAATGTCCCAAAGCAAAGAAACATTATAAGCATCATGACATGAAGGGGCCACCTTAAAGGAATGCCCACTGGCGATGGGACACTAAAAGAACATTGACTGGGATGGATTGAAACATACTAAATGTATTTTTAAAATTGGAGTTTAAAAAAAATATTATAAAAGTTGCCAGACCATCATTTTACCTTTTATATCCAAGTTTCCAAAGAGATGAAAAGGGTAAATCTTTGTTGTAGGAAAAAAAAAAAAAAGCACCAAATAACAGAAAAATTGCCATTTTGTAGTTCCTACATACCCAAGCTCACTGCCCCTCTGAACATCACTGGAGCAGCGGGGAAGTGAACTTGAAACAACAGAAATCCTATCTGGCACACCTGCATGTTGATAAATAATGGTCTACACCCCAGACCCTACCAAAGTGGTAGGAATTAGAATCAAGAAAATGAGAGTCATACTGAAAATTCTTGAAATTCAGTGATGAGTAGCTAGTGTTCATTATTTGGCATATTTACAAAAAAAATTAAAAATCTAATTGCAAGTTAGAGATATGGCAGAGATGGTTAGAGAAAATAAACATCCAAATCCAAAATATCAGGAATTCTGTATAACTGATGGGAGTTTTAAGAAAAAGATATGGGGAGTGGGGATAAAAGGAAGGAACAAGATGAGAAACTTTAAGACCATATTAATAAAAATTCAGTGCGGACCTTGTTTGGATCCTGATTTAAATAAGAAAGGCTATTAGAAGATATTTAGAAGTTAATTGTATGGACAAGATAATGACTCATGGTTTGTTAAAATAAAAGTTCATTAGGAATATTTATAGATAAAATGATGTCTTGAAATTGCTTATAATGATCTACCCCACCCCACAAAAATGTTTTAGGAATTGAGAAAACTAAAATTGGAGTCATATTGAAAATTCTCAAAGTTTAAGGATGGACACAGTTATTCTTTCTGTATTAGAGAATGTTTGAAATTTCTGTAATAAAAGACTATAAATAAATAAAGGATGATATATGTTTTAAAGTAAGATGTAGGTTTCTCTATACCCATTTTATTTCTAATGCATTATTACAGGCTAGTGCATATTGGGAAAAGAGTCTGCTCAAAATTGCCATTCTAAATGTATTAATATTTCTGAAGGCTAATTGTTCCAGACATTAAGATGAATGCTACCATCTCATGAATGTCTTGAGAAGTAGACAGTATAGCATGATAATCTAATTTCAAGATTCCTATTATCTAACCTCTTCAAAAATATGTTTAAATCACCAAGCTGCTTTTGCGGAAGCTAGAGCAAAATAAGGGGAAAAAGTGGGGGGCCAGATATTATAGGAAGATCAGTGGAGGAGGAGGAGGGACTGGAAAAGGGAGGAAATGCAGAATGAAGTGGATAAAATTATGCAAGCATGTATATCACAAGTGAATTCCCCATTTATGTATATCTATAAAGCACCAATTATAAGAGGGGCTGTAGCTCAGTGGTAGAGCACTTCTTGCCTTGCACGTGTGAGGTACTGGGGTTTGCTCCTCAGCACCACATAAAGATACTGTGTCCATCTACAACTAAAAATATTTTTAATTATAATAATAATAAATGTAAGACCAGGAGAGAAGGGGAATGGGGGTGGGGAGGGAAAGAGGAAGCACTGAGGACTGAAATGGACAAAATTCCATGCATGTATGTTTACATAAACTCAACAATTAGGAATAACTACAATGCATAAATAAACACATTAAAAACAAACACCATGCTCTTAAGTAAAGAGGTATTTCTAGGTAGATAAGACTATGTAAAGGGCATTGGAAGGAAAGCAAATTGGTAATCATGACCTATCAATGTTAGTAAGGACAAAGTACTTCTTGACTTTTAATCTCTTCCTCTCAGAGGCATAAGTGATATAGTCAGACTTTTTTTAGGTAATATAATGTTTGAGAGAAACAGGTACATTAGAGCACAGAAGAATTATAATTTAGTATAACACACAGTAATGACCTATTGAGAGCTACATACTGCACAAGTCTGAATGAGACCGTCTCTGCTGCCTCTGAGTTATATGCAGTCCAACTATAGGTTCACAACACTTGCTAGACTTTAATGGTGGTTGATTATAGAGATGTAGGCAAGTAATTTAAGACTATATATGAAGCCACTGGTTCCACCAAAGGAAAGGAAAGGAAAGGAAAAGATTGGGCACGTTCCAGAGGAGGTGGTGGCACTGAAGGAGTATTAATAAAGGATGACTAAAACATGACTGACCTGGAGGTAGGACAGGAGTGTTGGATGCAGGAAGAAGAGTCCTTGGCACTCGAGTAGGAGATTGCAGATGACTTACATGGTACCAGACTACAGTGATGAGGAATCCACTTAGTTTTGTAGGTGCTGAGTGGTAACTTGGACACATAGGTATTTTGGGAAGAAAATCCGACTTTCACTTGAGCAGGGTATACTGCCTAGAATGAGGAGAAACTGGAGGCAAATACTCTGGACTAGCAGTAAGTAGTCTGAGAACAAGACACACGCTGGTAATGCACAGATGGTGTATGGAAGGCAGGATGCGCGGTAGGGCTATGCAGGAACATTTTCACTTCTCACACCTTTCTCCCCTTTTTAAATTTTTATAGGTAGCCAAGGTGCTATGGTGGTACTACTTCTCCAAATTAGTAGAGTTCCTGGACACAATTTTCTTTGTTTTGCGAAAAAAGACAAATCAGATCACTTTCCTTCATGTCTACCATCATGCCTCCATGTTTAACATCTGGTGGTGTGTCTTGAACTGGATACCCTGTGGACAGAGTAAGTTCCCAGCTGGTTTCTGGTCCTATGCCATGGCTCTCACAGGCCTCCCAATAGGGCGGGGAGTGGGGCTGTGGAAGCAGGTGCTCACTAGTGGCCTTTGAATTTCTATCCTTTGATGCTGGCAAAATCTGAATGTAATTTTAAGTTTTAAAAATATTTTCTTTCCCATACACCAGAAGGCAGAGACACACACCCAGCCAAAGCAGACCAACTCTGGTATAGGTGCTGTTTGGTTCCTGTGGAAAGTGGCACCTTCAAGAGTTACCACTTGGTTGTGATATAGAGTTATTTAGCTCTTAGGGCTTGTTTTTACATTCTGAAAAATTAAGATAACATCTTTGTGTGACCCACCAGAGCAATGACTTTCAATTTTGTTAACTGAGAACTGCAGTACAAAATATATTTTATTTCACAATCCAGCCCACTTATTCATATTATGTATTGTGTGTGAAACAAAAATTTCATTAAATATATACTGTGGCTTTTTTTTCTTATTAAAATTAGGGATTAAACCCAGGAGCATTTAACCACTGAGCTATATCCCCATCCCTATTTTGAGAGAGGGTCTTGCTAAGTTATCAAGAATGGCTTTAAACTTGCAATCCTCCTGCCTCAGCCTCCCAAATTGAGGGGCTTACAGGTGTGCACCTCACTTGGCCAACTGTGGCTCTTCCTGATACTGTGGTATATACAATTTTTCATGAAACAAAAATTTCAGGTAACAGTATTTACTGTGGGTTTTTTTTTTTTTTGTAAATTCTATTTCACTTGTCAAAATACAAAAAGCAGACAGTTCTCACTGCACTGACTTCACAGTTCATTACTGCATCAGTCACAAACTGCAGTTTGAGAAGCACTGAGCTGGAAAGATCAGGAGTTTCTATTTTATAATGTGTTGTCCCCCCAATTTGAAAATATCCTATGAAAAATCAGAACAGGTAAAATTTAAGAAAGTTCTTTTGTTTTACAATTCAACGTCTTTGTGGAAATAGAAAACAATCCAAAGAAAATTTGGAGTACAGATGTGTGGAGCCACATCCTGGTATACCCATTGTGAGTTAAAAATTTCATAAGTCAAAAACACAGTTAATACAACCAACCTGTCAAACATCCCAACAGCAGCACAGCATGCTGGTAGTGTGGGTTGTTCCTCCTGTGACCTCAGAGTTGCCTGAGAGCCGCAGCTCCCCAGCATCATGAGTATTACAGCACATACCACTAGCCCCCTGGCTAACACTCAGAATCCTAGTTGTGGTTTCTACTGACTGCATCACTTTCACACCATCATAGGGTTGGTTTCTACTGACTGCATCACTTTCACACCATCATAGGGTTGAAGTAAAGCTATCAGGTCAGGGACCACTTTATATCAGTGACTGAAGATGCAAATAAAAACTAGTGTCAGGAGGGAAACTGGTAGGGATGCAGTAGGCAGAAAGGAATGCTTTCCACACTCCTCCTAGACAGAATCTACTTTTTTACAAATTTGATACTTAAAGAAGACTATAATAACTATCAAAGGAGAATTGCAAAGGTTAGTATTTTTTATCAAGTTTCATTACAAATTAGTACCTAAATCATTGTGTAAAAAGTCCTATAAATAATGTGATAGTTTCCACTCAAGAGTATTATAAAAACCTTAAGCAATGATCATTCACTAATTGATAGAAATAAAAACTCAAGTAAATATCACTAACGTGTCTTCTGATACTCACATTATATCTGTGTTTTCTATATAAATCAAGTGTCATAACAGCTTGTGCACCCTGGACAAGCACTCTTTCCCTGAATGATAACCTGCTGCCCACAGGAGGCTTTTTCCCATCCAAGGTTTAGTCAAAGCAAAGATAGTTCTGGTTGAGAGGAACTCTGCCTCTAGCTCTAAGTTATCTACCCCCCCACCCCCATTAGCTATTGTAATGACAAAGAGACAGTTAAAACTTTGCAAATAAGAACTGGGTGGTACTCTGGCTGAAAAAGTATTCCAGTTTACTTCGATCCAGAAGTTTCTGCCAAATTTAGGGCAATAGCACAATAATTGGGGAATTTATCAGTATGAAGTTCATCATATGATTGTCCTTTACCTATTAATATTTAGTTATTACGCAGAGAAGAATATCACTAGACAAAGGAGAATGAACAGTCATTTTATAAAATAGTAACTCATGCTATACTTTCCTAGGTTTCTTTGGACCAACACTGAACAGCTTTATCCACATTCTAATGTACTCCTATTATGGACTCTCTGTGTTTCCATCCATGCACAAGTACCTTTGGTGGAAGAAATACCTCACACAGGCTCAGCTGGTATGTCACTCCCAGCTCTCTCCATATGGCTCATGGAGGAGCAGGAAATAGGAATCTGTCTTTTGGACATCAGAGGCCTCTCTACATGTGATGAGGATGCCTATTTTTCTCTAAGAGCCTTTAAGAATTATTTTGTGAATTAAAATGTTTGTATATATACAATTTATGATGAGAAGATCCTTGCTCTGAAATATAGAGGAATATTTTTAAATTATAAGCTAAACATTTTTATTTAAATAACTTTAGCTGCTGCTTCTTCATAAGAAACTTATATTGGTAACTATATAACATTGCCATTACTAAGTTCAGATAGTTCCTGGATAGGATAGTGGGCTGCCTCAGCATTGTGCTTGTTTCATTCCTGCAAAATGTAGAGCATGACAGGAGTTGATCTGACTGAGGAGGTCCCCGGGCCCGGGGGAGCGGAACTCACTCACTCTGGCCCTGTGTGCCCCTGCAGGTGCAGTTCCTGCTCACCATCACCCACACGCTGAGTGCCGTCGTGAAGCCCTGTGGCTTCCCCTTTGGTTGCCTCATCTTCCAGTCCTCCTATATGATGACACTAGTCGTCCTGTTCTTAAATTTTTATGTTCAGGTATGTGAAATAGAAATATTTGTAGCAAAACACAGCATATGTGCACTTTGCATTATATGTTTGTAATTTTACTGATTAAATATTAAGCAGATGCTTGTGGATGAATTTAGATGAGGGGTTTGTAAATGAAAAAGTAAAACTTGCATTCTGATTTCTCTCCCTATGGCCTCCTACTCAAAGAAGAACCACAGTTAATAGTCTGGGGGGCATTCTACTAAAACTCTGTGCATTGCATTGAAAAACATTTATCAGAAATACCGAGTTATATTGTTTGCATCATGTATTTGCATTCTGAAAATTAATCAGGTGTGAGACAGATCTAGGAAACTTACATGAATGGAGAAAAAATGGGACATTATTTTTGAATATATCATAGTGTTATAGATCATTTGGATAAAATTCCTTAAGGCCAATTAGTATGGGAAGGTTACACTGGCTTTTTGTTAAGTGTCATTTTCTTTTTAACAATTAGAGGTTCAAAATGCAATTTCAAAGTGACTGTTTTGCAAGAACCTATGAAAGCTATGACAGAGCATAGGCCTCAGCAGGTTGTAGATTTTAAATTGCACTCCTTTGTGGGCTGGGGAAATGGAATGCTTCCTTTAAAAAAAAAAAAGGCATAGTTACATTCAAAACAGTACTTCAGAAATTGTATTCATTTGCGGTTTCTTTTGAACAAGAAATGCTCTTATTTTTTAGTTTGGTGAACAAGAGAACTCACCATTGTTTTATGCAAATATAGAGTCCAACTGGAGGACTAAACCTTTGACATCTTTTTAGATTTTGTGTTTCTGAAATTGGACTGACTAGGCTTTGTCTCTTAAGAAATAATAGTCGACAGACCCAAACAAAGCCATACACACACAGAGGAGTGTTAAAGGAAAGTGGGGAGTTTGGGGTGCTAGATATTAACCCTGGGCAGGAAGTAGAAGCCCAGCAGCGGTAGATAATGGCAATGGAAGCCTGAGCCCCACACGCTGACTCAAATCAAATCTCAGTCCTGACGCTGAGTCTGTAAGTACAGTCTTGACTCTTAGTTATTTTTTTTAAGGCAATAGTACTATCATCTTGTTTTTACTTTTTAAGTTATCATAGAAGGAAGGCTATGCCCAGCTGGGGTTATGCTCAGTGGGGAGGCCCGGATTTCAGCACCAAAAATAGAGGATACTCTGAAGCCAAATCAATCCAATAACTCAGGTGTTGGTCTTTTAGAATAAAATAGCACTTTTTCATTTGAGGTATCTTTTTTAAAAATTATATCCTTTCCAAGTAAGAAACTAATGCAGAAAAATTTCAGTGCTAATCCCTTAATGTGGAAATCCTGATCTAATATAAGATGAAGGGAACCTCTCATTAACATCACACATTTGTCTTGCTTTTACCTTGTTTTTAACTAGGGGCTTAAACATGGTCATATTTCAAACACAAATTCCTAGGAGAAAAGTCCAGTGCCCAAGAAATTCATGGACTATTTTAACCATATGCAGCCTTAGAGATAAAGTCTTACTAAGGAATTTTTTTTTCTCTCCTATATATACACACCCAACAGACATACCGAAAAAAGCCAATGAAAAAAGACATGCAAGAGCTGCCTGCAGGAAAAGAAGTCAGAAATGGTTTTTCCAAAGCCTGCTTCGCGGAAGTGAATGGAGTGATAAGCAAGAAAGCCCAATGACAGAGTGACAGGGAACGCATGCCTGGCACCAGCCCAACAAGTCCGCTTGTTTTAAAGCAAAGACTGAATTGAAAGTTGTATGTTTTAGCATAAACTAATTTCTTCTGAGTTTATAAAATCATTTGTACCAGAATGTATTAATATATTGCTACTAGGTTAATCCATTAATGCTTTGGTCAGCATCAAGGCGATGCTGGACCCTGAAACTTCAGAGCAGATGCCCCCTCCCTCCGCGCAGACTCACCCTTCCTAGGTGCACTCTGTAACGCCACACACGTCCAAGGCCAAGAGGTGTGGGGCACTGTCATTCATGGCAAGTCTTCAAGTGGAGTGTTGTTCAGATTAAACTGTCAAACAAAACGTTGTATTGTAAATATTGACATGATCTAATATACAGTAAGCAATAATCGTCAGTGCATAAAGGAATCAACCGCAGAAAATATTAAAATGGGATCAGAAAGTGAAGACAAAAATCTAGTCAAACCTCTCAGGCCAGAGCCTTGTTTATCAAACTGTCACAACCACTTCTGATTATCTTTTGTTTAGAATAACTAATCTTAAAATTATTTTGAAACTTTTCTGCGAAATCCTCATTTCTCAGGGGCTTTGGATACAGGAGTCTCCCTGTTTTAATTTGGTTTCCTTAACAATTTAAATATTCATGTCCATCTCCCTTGTTAGCTAGCCTAGGTTAGTAAAGGTCTGAGCTCCAGACTAAAGCTGTCTCCCAAACTGGCTGCTTGTTTCTTTGTGAAGAAGGACTGCAGTCCAGCCCACCCTTTTCCTACAATGTCTGTGCCACTGGAACACTTACTATCAGAATTCACAGAGAAATGGGGGTAAGTCAGACTTGTCTGTTTTTTGTGAGCCTATTCATGAATATTATTCCAAATCCTTGCTATCAATCTTTGTAGGTTATTTAAGTATTTGAAAATAGACAGAAAACACTGTCATAGTTTAGAAAGGCTCTGGCTCTGAGCCACAGGCTGGTGATGAGCACAGTGACAGTGCCAGTTTGGCAAACTCGACACATCCTTTCCCAGCTCAGCACTGATCTCTGAGAACAAGCACAAAGGCCAAGGCAGCACTGAACATTCCCTTTCTCCCTCAGTGCCGGGCTGTTAATCACTATTAACTGTACCAAGGATGAAAACAAAGGATTAATTTATCTTCTTTCCCATCTCAGTTTTTTTTTTTTAAGATAAAAGTTTTTAGGTCATAACATTAATATTAGGTGCACGGGCACTAAAAAATTCTCACCACTTTGCCAGCCATGATGCCATTCAGTCCCTTCTGTCCCCTCCCGAGCTTTAGTTTTAAATTCTCCCTGGTTGAAAACTAGACCAACTTTCTAAACATTCATCTCACATCAGCTCCCCTTTCTCAGGACTCTGGCCTGTGTGGTTGAAAGGTGACTAACGCTGTGTGGACTTCAGGTGAATTCTTCCTGCCCTGTGACAGCCTTTCTCTTCTGACTGGTCATTTCTGTGGAACAGACCCCTCTTCCTGTCTCATGCCTGCTCTCTTTTTCTTCTTCACAACCCTGTTCTGGTAATGGGGTTTGAACTCAGGGGCACTCTACCGCTGAGCCAAATCCCCAGCCTTTTTTGAGCCAAGATCTCCCTAAGTTGCCCGGGCTGACCTCAAATTTTCAGTCCTCCTGCTCAGCCTCCTCAGTTGCTGGGATTCCAGGCATGTGCCACACACCCAGCTGCTCTATTTCCCAAATGGTTGTCAAGAGGTGACTTGCTCTAGGGTGCTATCTCACTTGCATCATTCATCACTTTAACTGTATTTAGTGTACTGTTCACTCCCAGGAATTCATTTTTAAAAAAGGGCTAACTTGGAGTATGACTGTTACTGCTCTTCTATAACAAGATGCAGACTTGACTAAGGAGAAAGTCCCTTGGAGAAACCGGGTTCTGTTTAGTTCTCAGACACAGGCTGAAATCTGTTACCAAAGTACATTCCAGGTAAATATGAAACTCGGGAGATGACATTGTACTCAGCTTGTGTTTGTATCATCAGCTTATCGTCACTGTATTCAGCTTACTCTTACTTGCCAACGAGGCCCTGAAGTCTCACCAGGACCACACCTGCAATGTTGGATGTTTTCACGGGCTTCACATCTGTAGAGCACAGAGGGAGTCACCCTTCGGCCGGTGGACAAAGTCATGCAGCTGTCAGCACATGGCAGTGTGAAACTGCTAAGTGGAGGTGAATTCTACTAAAACTTAATAAAACACTCAGAGCCTTAAACCATTCGAGGGCTGATAAAAAGTGCGCAGAGCTATGAGATCTGAGCCACAGAAATTCAATCAGGTAAATATTTTAACCTGTTATTAAGTGCTATGACTTTAAAAAAACATTTAAAGATGTTTGTTTAATGTGATTTTTCTAAAGCATAACTGTAAAAGAAATACTATCTATATAATCTATTAAGAAATAGAAAATGTTTTTACAAGTCAATTTCCACCTACTTGTGGAAATGAAAACACATACATAAATATGATAAAGCCTGTTTGTTAATAATTCCCCCAAATTTTTAAAACTAAAATGGATTTGTTTGCTGAATAGAATTAAAAATTTTTCAACCTATCAAAAGCACTTATTTAGACATATTGGTGGATAAAGTCCCCTCCACCCCCATCAGAGAAGTGATTCTTACCTTTAAAGAAAAACAGTACTTACTGAAATGGAAAAAAAAAAAAATTGCATTTTGTATGTAAGAGACGATTCTAGTTTTCCCCCAATATTTCTGTAGCATTTTATGTTTCTGAGGAGTACTTATTTAGAAAATAAGCATATCACTTTCTTCTTTTCCTTTGAAAGTGTATATATCTATATAATATCATGATTAGGGTGGACAGGGAGACAGAAGAGCCATTTTTCTTTGTAGATAAAAAGCATTCTGTATGATATATAATAAATCGATTTTTACATTAAAGCAAAGCATGTTGCAATTTTTCTTTTTTGGCTCAAAGAAGTTAAAATGTGTGTAGTATTCCAAGTGACCTATCACTCAGGGATTTTTTTTAACCAATAAAATGATATTTACACAATTAATTTCAGATGTTTAATTCTTCATTTCAATGAGCAGTGGACTTTTAGGTAATATTACCTAAACATAGTAGTCAAATACCAAGTTGAATTATTTCAGAAGATGGTCATTCACCTGAAAAAGTTAAGACCAATTAGATAAGAAAAGCCAAAACAATCACAACAAATTACTCTACAGCATAGAATAACTGAGGAAGGAGACTAGATTGGAGTGGAAGATATGAGGCAGGAATGGTACTTGCCCCTGAAAGCCAGGACTGTCCCTTCATAGATGCCTGACCACATCAAGGTGGCCACCTCCACTCAGGAACAGGGATGTAAATGAGACTTCAGGGCCGATCACAGGTTGGTGGCTGTCAATGTGGAGAGCAGAGTTGTGACTTAAGGGAAACAAGATAGGTCCCAAAACAAAAGACATAAGAGATGTGCTTGAAATCTCATTATAAAGTCACCTGAGGTCCTGGGTAGTAGCAGTGGAGCCTTCGAGGACAATCAAGCCCCCGACCTTGGTGATGAAGGTGGCCTGTAGAAGCCAGGCCCTGTGTTATAGCTACACATACCTGGCTCAGGTGTCAGAGGTGCTGGTGGAGATCTGGGCAGGCGAAGCTGCTCCAGGCCTTGCTGTGGCCTGAGCAACTACACAAGTGCACTCAAAATGGCAGCCACTGTCCTCTGCCTTGAAGTTCCCCAGGACACTCTCCATAGCCCACCTTAACCAGGAAACACAGGAATGAGAATTCTGGGCACAGGTGTTCAGCCTAGCCAAGCTGACACATTAATAAAGCCACCACATCCTGTTATAATAGCAAAACATGCCTGCAACATTGACAAAATGATTCTTTGCCTGATCAAACTTTAGTTAGGATTCTGAACCTTCTTGCCTCATCTGTGTATTTCCTTGTCAACTCAGCATTAGCAGAACTCTGCTAAGTCAGATCAACGAGAACCCTCCACTCTCAGTACCTGATCATCCTTGATATCTAATCAGGTTCTTCATCCTCTGCCAACACCCAGGCGTCTGATTATACGGGCCTATCACCAGCAGGAATCCTGTTAGGCTTACCTAGAATCCCCCAGCTCGATATTTTCTTTGTAATTTTTTATCCATTTTTTTTTTTTTGTAATTTTTTCCTATCCTGCTCCCTGGCTATAATTTCCTCTTGCTCTTGCTGTGTTCAGAGTTGAACCCAATCTTTCTCCTCCTCTGCAAAATCCCATATCCGTGAGCCCCACACCTACCACAATGGGCCTGAACAAAGTCAGCCTTACCAGGTTTTAGCGAGTGTCACTGAGTAGTTGTGTTGTGTTGTGGTGTTTTAAAAACAACACAAAAAAAAACCCTGGGGCCCAAAAACAAACTGAAAAGACACGTTCCTAGCTTACCGAGCCCCAGTAAAAGGTGCTTCAGCTAATATTGACCAGATCAGAACCTCTCCCATTATCTGGGCAGTAACAATATCCATGTCATAAATAGGAGAATCAAACCATAAATGAACAGAAAATAAAGCACTGACCACGTACAGCTGGGCCTCCTACACAACAAATCCCAGTCTATATAGAAAGAGGTTTTCCATCTATCCTTGACTTATGCAAAGCTTTGGATTTGCATAATTTCTTTTCATGTACAAGTTTTCATAATAGCATCAAAACTATCCTCTCATTGACCCTTAACCTATATATTCTTGGCACTCAGACTGCTCTCTACCCCACTTTCACTCACATAGTGCATTCATCTGCTTCTGTGAGAGGCCACAGCTATATTGGCCTAAAGACACTGTTATTAGGATTCTCTGAAGAGCATACGTGTGTGCGCGCGCGCACACACACACATATGTACATGTATATGTACACACATAAATATGGATGGAGATAGACTTCCTTTCAGCATTTGGCTCTCGTGACCATGGAGGTTGGCCAGTGAGAGTCGGCAGGGCAGGTGCCAGCAAGCTGGAAATCAGGCCCCTGTGTGAGGTGGTGGGGCTGCAGGCAGCCTGGAGGCACATTAAGGTTCTCACTTTAGGGGGAGAGCCATGACGACAGTGCTGTCACGGCTTGTTTTAGAAACTCTCAGTACTAAAGGGGTGGCTTCAACACAGGGTGAGAGAGGGGGACAGAAGATAAAGCTGACATGTATGGCCTTGACTGTCACAGTTAAGACAGGAGCCACCACAGCATTCAACAGGGGTGACTGGCAGATGGGGTGCACCAGCAGGCACCAGTGGAAAACCAAAACCCGGGGTCACTGGGAAAAGAGGAGGAGAAGCCGGGGGCAGAGGCATCATGGTGGCAGTCCCCACAGGAACCGAAGCTCTGCCAGATCATATCATTGGAGCTTTCACAGGGCGATGGCAAGAAGCTTTTGCAGGGAGAGCGGAGACCAAGTTCAAGATGCTCAGGTTGGGGACAGCAGTGAGCAGAAGTGCTGTGGGCTCAGCAAGGACAGGCTGTGGAAGCACAGGAGGAGAGCAGGTGGTGGACATATACATTCCTCCAGGAGGAGTCAACAGGCGAATGCAAATACGCTGGGCCCAGGAAGCCATCTGCAGAGAGGGCAGGAAGACCAGCGAGCGAAGAGAAAGCCTGGTTCTACCCAGAGAGCAGCTCATCTAAGGAACGTGTAAGAGCATGAGCCAGAAATGGGAACGGAGGAGACAGCCAGAGACGGGAAAGGGGCATTCCAAAAGCCACTTTAAAGAGAACATTAAACAGTCCAACGCAGCCAGGAGGTCAGGTGACAACCCAAAAAGGAGGAAAAAAAGAAAGGTGGTGGTGGTCCAGTCTTTGGGAGCAGCTAGAAAATTAACAGGAGGCTTGAATGAATGGGAAGTCCTGGGCCAGGGGGAGATCAGACAGGGCACACAAAAATCATTTGTAAGATCTGGGGATATAAAGGACAAGAGGGGTTCCTGCAAGGGCCGAGGAGCGAAGGGGCACATGTGCTGGGAATCTGAGTCAAGGCGCAGGTGGCAGGTCAGGACAGGTGGGCTGCAGAGGAGGAAGCAGCAAGGAAGTGAGAGAGGAGGAAGGGACACCTCAGACCCGTGGTTATCAGGGGAAAAAGAACTCACTGTTGAACTCACACTTGGTCATCACGTACGGCTTGGAACAAAGCCCCCACTGAAGGCAGCCCACCAGGGTTTGGGGCTTGGAGAGAGACGGCCTGACTCTCCTTGTCACAGGTAAAGGAGATGGGGAAGCAGCTAGGGGTGGCAGGGACACAGAGACGGAACAATCTGCTTGGCTTACCTCAGGGCTCAACCTGCTCTGCAGGGGCAGTGAGCAGGGACACAAGGACAAAGCAAATACAAGAGCTGCCGTGGAAGAGAGGCTCAGAGCACAGGAGAACATCAGAAATGACACTAAGGCTGCAGCCACACACAGTAATGGCAATTCCATAGAAGTGGATCCAATGAAAGGCAGCATTGGTCCCCAGCTGAGAATAGACCTGAAGCGCCATCCACAGCCACCAGGGTTGGGGTGAGACACCTGATGCTTCCCAGCTTCTCTCCACGCTGCCCAACGCAGTGCATCATGCCCACATTCCACTACCAAACACTACCCAACATTCCTACCCCTGTGTAGGCTGGGCCCGGGCAGGGCAGCGCACCCTGCAAAGCTGCCTTCCACGTTCATTTGTGTGACTGTTTCACTAACATCCAGCTCCCCATCGGACTGCTGGCCCCCCAAGGGCCATCAACACTGAATTCCCATCACACAGCAAGGGCTCCATGATGATTTGCTAAATAAGACATAACTGAACCCTTGGGGATGTTTTATAAGAGATGTCCCTCACCCCCGTGGTTGTTCAAGCTTGTAGGTTTTGCACCTTCATCAATCCAGCCTCAAAATCTGCTCAAGCCTTCACCTGCCCTAGTTGCTCATATCTGCCTCCTCTCTTACATTCCCAGAATTCTATTCTAGTTGAGGTTTTTATTGCTGCAACAGTCTCCCCCAGTATGTGGAATTCAGCCTTCACGCTGCCACTAGGTTCTGACCCACAGAGTAGGTCCAAGTTTGGGCCTAGCAAAATTTAATTTCCACTCATACTCCATAGTATCATGCCTCAAATTCTGCATTTTTCTGTTTCTATATTCATATTAGTCTCTCTTCTCTCATCCTAGAAAAAAATACTCCCCATCCTTCAAGATCTATTTCAAATGGTACCTCTCTTCCAGGAATCCATTTCCAATCACCCAACAAAATTGACCTCACCCTCTGCCAGCCCTGACAGGGCTCAGCTTACACCTTATTGATGGCACGAGTCACACAGCCTTGATGTACATTAACCTTGACATCTTACTGTCTTCTGCAGACTGAGTTCTTAATAGCCAAAATCACGTCTTATCCATCCTAGCATCCTTCATGTAAGTTTAACTCAAGGATTTTTACAGTGCTCAAATATATGCTCCCTAGTCACTGGAAGCCATATAAATTCCTAAGATATCCTTCAATGGGGACAGTCAATGCAATAGCATGGAAATTCATAAAACTCCAAGTTATCAGAAATCGTGAGTCTCAAACTAGACACACCTAGATAAAATAAGGTTAGTTAACTTCACAAATTCTTTGGACATAAAAAACAGGTGTTCTTATGCTCTTTAAAGCTTACAATAATGGACTAAAACATAGCTCATTAAAAAAATTCTAAAGAAGTAGGGCTGGGGTATAGTTCAATGGTAGAATGTGCTTGCCCAGCACACACAGGGGTCCTGGGTTCCATCCCCAGCACAGGGGATGAAAATCTAGAAGAAAAAGATGACAATAAAATTGGGGTTCTAAACATCTGTTTTAGGCAAATTATAATAAGCTACATCTAACTAACTTGCATTACACAGTAAATTGTTCAGTCTGCACTCTTTAATTTATCCAATTATAAACTAAATTACTTTGTAGATAGTCTTAAATTACGCAGATTTTATTTCTCTAAAGTATATTCAAATGCTTTCATACATAAGATTCATACACTCAAACTTCATGAGAACAGTTAGCAATGATCACGTGAATATTTCTCTGCTAAAGACGCTTTTGTTAAATCACTGAAAGTAAAATATGTGCAGATCAAATGGATCCTCCTAACAACTTTATTTTCAAAACATACTACCATTGTTACCTGAGCTATTTTCATTATTTTCAAATTAAATTCCTCGTTTAAGCAAATATACCAAAACATATTTAGATAAATGCTGAAGTTATGATTTGCACAAAATCTGAAGACATTATGCAAGTAAAAAATCAAGTTGACTTTCAAAATCATAAGAAAAAGCAACATCCCTTGAAATTACTGAACGTTCTGAACTTTCTATTATCTGAGCAATTTCTGATACAAAGGTTAACTTTTGTGAACAAATGAGCAACAACAAAATTGCAAACTACTAGCATATTTTATTCTAAGTCAAGAGTTCCCAGGTGGAGCAAACAGAATGAGCACAGAGCTTTACAGTATGGCTTCTGTGGTTTCAGCCAATGGCAAAGACATTTTTATCATCTTCTTCAGGTGGTTCAGACTGGTGGAAAAGGAAAAGGAACACAATAATTAGTTGAAGATCAGCTATCACCTCTTGGTCCCTTAACATTTCATAAGCCAAAATGAATGCCACTCCTTTTTCCCAATTATGTCACTAACTCACACACAGAAGTTGCATGGCTATATGGTTGCTGAGAGCTAAAGTTCCAGCTAGATGGAAACTGCCCCAGGTCAAAATTACACTAGAAAATCTTAAAACATCTGCCATCATCTGGAAGGTGTGCATGCCATGTCCCTACAGTCCTACAGTGAGTATTTTTTTGTAGTTGTTGTTATTGTTTTGTTTTTCTTTCTGATGTTGGAGGAAAGGCAGCCCTCTGTTGATAGAGCTGGCTTGGCTCCAGGGCACACACTATATGAAAATTACATGTTAATAACCAGATTTTGACATTCAGTCCAATTAGATGCCCATAAGAAGTGGGTATGAGCTGCTGTCCATGGAGCAGGGAATAGCATGAAGCAAGAGATTCTCCCGTTCCACCCAAACCCCAGGGTTCATGCCCATTGAGAAGAACAGCAGACAGGATCACTGTGTGATCTCTATTTTTTGCTGTGTACATCGCATGCAATTTAACTCAGGCATGGCAGACATTGCCAGTTACCTACCCAATGTCTATTCTCCCCTGTTTCCTTAGTAACAGCACCCACCCTATTTTTAGAAAGAGGGGATGGTAACAGTAAGTAACATGCTCACATTTTCACCTCCTCAGAGAGGAACTGTGTGCACCCACCATGACAATTAGGGTAGGCCTTGGAACCCAGCTCCAGCCAATTAGATGGAACAAAATCTATTAGATTTGACTTCCATGAAAAATGTTTTCCTAATTTAACACAGAGGGGGGCTGGCACATGGCTTTTACCTTTTATTCATCCCCTACTTCCTACCTGGAAAGTTGGGAAAAGGAAAAAGTTTAACTCTTTGTAAACTTGGGTATTGTTTTAGCTTATCACACAAGAGTAATTCGTATTTTGCAATGAATGATAAACATTCAGAACAGCCAAAGATAGAAAGTTAATTCACCCAAAATATCACCACTGAAAATGACGGCAGGTGACATTTCGAGGTGCACACCTTTCTGGGATTTAGACCTGTGTGTGCAGGTACCTGCTCTGACTCTTGTCCTCTGTAATGCTGCAAAACCCTTGTTCCCTCCTGCTCACGGCTGCTCATCCTCTTTTGCTGGATTCACCCCCCTACCCAGCTTCACATGGAAGTGACCAGGAACGCTCCCTGGGCCACATTTTCTGACTGGGTCAACCCATCCATTCTCAGGCCTAGCTTTCTGTCATGAGCTTCAGCCGTTATCCATCTTACAGCTCCACTCAGACGCTGAAATCATGTGGAAAGTTTATCCTAATCAAACCTAAGTATCAGTCCTCAAATCCAACCCTTCCCAGTCTTTGGCACCTCCTTAAATGACACCAGTGTCCCCTTCCGTTGCTTGAGCCCTAAACCTAAACGTTGTCCCCAACTCTGCCTTTTTACCACCGCCACATCCAATCCATCAATAATCCTTCCAGATCCTTCTACACTGCCCACATCATCCAATTCCCCACCCTAAACACACATGACCCTGATGAGTCTCCTTTGATCTTTACCCTTTTAGTACCAAAAAATGATTTAAAAATAATAATAATCACAAAGCCTAACTTTGGTGACTTTAAGATTACCCACTTAATTCACTATTAATGAGATAAAACAAAACACTCTTAAAAAAACAATATCTGCACTCTAAGGTAAATGCAAATATATTCCTATAAAGACATTTTACAAATGGTCTCCTTAGGAAATCTAGTTCAGACTTGTAAACTGCAGACAATCTCAAGATTGGCGTCTGTAAATAGCCCTACTGTGAGTACTGGGGAGTGATCCTGGAGAAGCTACATTGTTATACTGTCTATCCTGTGCAAGTACAAATATGTAACAACAAAACCCCATCAGTGTGTACAACTATAATGCACCAATAAAAACTGTGTAGGGGGAAGAAGCCCTATTGTTAAATGCTGCGAGAAAGAACAAAATAATCATCAAAGAATCCAGCCGAGTGGGAGAACTGCTGTCCTTACAGACACTATTACCGGGAACAGAGGGCCCGTGGCTGCTGTACACGTTCTGTCCCTGCTCTGTGGGCCTCCATGATAATGCCACCAGGAAACTCCTCCACCTTGCGACTTTAGGCTTCTTGGACTACCTCCTCTCCGCCCCCATCCACTCCCCCTTCCTCACCCTCCCAAGGTCTTTGGCTCCAGCCCCGACAACTAAATCAGTTTGTAGTTAACATCCTCATAGCCTCTTCTGGAGGAAACTCTCTCCTTGCCTCTTTCTAACTAAAATGTGGCCGACTTCGGACAGCACCCTCACCTACCTCCCCATGTCCACCCCTCACTGATCTCCTTTAAAAATAAAAAGTCTGATAACTCCAAAGGAATCTCTGGCCCAATGTCCCACATTCTCCCTTGAATGTGTATTTCTTGCTTTCCTACCTACATCGCTGTGCCTGTAACTCACACACCCTTAAATGCACCTCCATGATGTTTTGCAAAACTTCACTCATTCCGAGTCAAGATCTCCCGCTTGCCAGGAACCTTCTCAGACCTTCTCCAGTGAGAAATAGAGAAGGACTCCTCCACTCAGCCCACCACCTTGGGACTGTGACTGCTGATGCCAAAAGCCCAGAATCTCCCGTGTCTGTCCTGAGACCCAAGTAAGGTCCTGTCCTGGTCCTGCAGTTCCAGAAATCTACCTCTCAATCCCCCAAACCCCAGCACTGACTTGTTTATTTACCCCAGGGGAAGTAGAGGAGGTCTCCTCTGTAACCACAGACTTGGAACAAGCTTCTGGGGTCAAAAATTCTGGCCCCACTTGTGCTTGTCCTTGGGACGTGGTAAAATACTGTCTGGATCCCACAGCTACAGGGAAGTGGTTATCAGTGCTATAAGCCCCAACACCACCTAAATCACCAACAGGACTTAGGGAGGGTCCCCTTTGTATCCCACAATCTAGAGACCAAAGTTACTGGTATCATAAGACCCCAGTATTACCTGCAATCATCCTATGGGACGTGAGAAAGTCCCTTCCCATCGTGTGGCTGCAGGTGGCAAGACCCGAGTATCTCCCCCATTCATCCTAAGTGAGCTCCTTTACATCCTCTGCCTCTGGGATCATGGTTGCTGATTCCACAAGCCTTGGACAGCTACTCGTCCAGTAGGACTAGATACAGTCCCTTCCACATCTCACCCAACTAAAACCAGGGCCAACTGCTGCCACAGGAACCAGTTCCATCAGTACTCAACCCTGTGGGACCCGAGAACAGGCACCCACGCAAGCCTATATCCACTGCAAAGTCAGTCACCTTCATGAACCACTGCAGTCGAGGCTACCGCAGCCTTTATAGGCACTGCGGATACCCATCACAGCCAAAGGAATTATACTGAGTCTACGATTTTTGAACTCCCCTATAATCTAAACACTCACCCAATGGACAGCCTACATCCCATCGACAGAAAATCTACTACAGAAAATGGGAAGCGGTGTCTGTTATACCAGATGCACAGACATCAACATAGGGACATAAGAAACATGAAAACTCCAAAAGAACAAAACCATGCTCCAGAAACAGATCTCAACTGGAAAGAAATCTGTGGACACCTGAAAAGGAAATTCAGGGTCCTGAGAATGACCAGATCCTAAGGGAACCCACTGAGAGGTAAGAAAATATGAATAATACAAAGAATTGAAGAAGAAAAAAAAGGATATAAATGAGAAATTCATCAAAGAGGATTTATTTCAAAAATTCAGAAATCTTAGAGTTAAAATTTTCAATCAATGAAATAAAAATGCAAGTGAAGAGCTTGCGGACTAGAATAAGCAGAAGAAAGAATTTCTAAACCTGAGGAGAAGATTTCCGAATTAACCCAGACCGAAAACAAACAAAAGAATGAAGAAAGCCTACTTTGGGTACACCATTAACAAATATATGAATTATGAGAATTCTAGGAAGAGGGAAAGCACTGAAAACCTATTTCAATTATAATACCTTAAAGCTTGCCAATCTTCAGAGAGATGGATGTACACACAGGAAAAACTCACCCCACCATACACTGAAACCTCTGAAACCGTGAGCCAAAACAAATCTTTCCTCCCTTATATGGTTGTTAATCAGGCATTTTGGTCTCAGTGATGAAAAGCTGACTATCACAGTCATGTTATTCAATTTCTATGCATTGACATACTTTCCATTTTTCTTATTGATGTGTAGTTTTATTATATCGTGGTCTGAAAAATACATTTATGATTTCAACTTTATACAATTTTTCAGGGCTGGGGTTGTGGCTCAGTGGTAAAGCACTTGCCTAGCATGCGTGAGGCACTGGGTTCAATTCCCAGCACCACAAACAAATAAACAAAGGTCCATTGATTTGTTGCCTAACCTATTATCTATTCTGGAGAATGAGAATGTGTATTCTGCTGCTGTTGGGTGAAATATGTTCGGTAAATGTCGATTAAGCCCATTTGCTTTATAATATGATCTAACACAGATGTTTCTTTGATGATTTTCTGTCTGAATGAACTGTTTACTGAGGAAAATAGAGTATTGAAGTCCCCAGCTATTATTTCTCTTTAGATCTAATAGTATTTGCTTTAAATATTTGGTTAGTCCAGTACTGAATACATACTTAAGTACAATTACTATATCTTCTTGCTGAATTGATCCTTTATCAGCATATAAAGACCCAATTTTTCTTTTCATAGTTTTTGATTTAAAGTTTGCTTTATCTGATATGAGTATAGCTGTTCCTGCTTGCTTTTGATTTCTCCTTGTGTGGTATTATGTTGTTTCAACTCTTAACTTTCAGTTACCTGAAAGTGTATCTTTACCAGTGAAGTGAATTTCTTGTAGGCAGCAAATAGTTGGGTCTTGTGTTGTCCGTTGAGTTAGTCTGTGTCTCTTGATTGGTGAATTTAATCCATTTACATTC